TGTGGGAGAATGGAAGGTGGTGGGAGAGAAGTGGGTCGAAGTTGTCGATGCAGGTGGGGAGCATGTGGACGTAAAATGACTCGGATACACCGATCTACGCCTTGTAACACGTCTCGTGATTGGGCACTTTGCTTTGTCAGCACGACCTGTTGAGGTCAATGAATGCGACTGTGGACTGTTGCTGCTGCTACCACTACTACTACTACCACCACCACCACCACCATTTGAGTGGCATTTGAAGTGGATTCAGCATCTCTTTCCGTCCTACTCCATTCGTGCCGTCAACCACATGTTCTCCTTCTCATATCCACCTAGTGGCAGAGTCGTCTTAAAAGCTGCTAAGCAAATTAGTAATACTTATTTGCCCACCCACTTAAACCTGTTTACTCACCTCTACACGCACAATGCATTAAACGAAGGCAAAATCTGTTCGAGCCTACCGATTTCGTTCTCTTCTCCTTTACTCCCCCTTGCTACGCTGCATAAAAAGGACGTTGGAACACGTTTGTTTGCCTACTGGTTGAATACCTATGCAACTAACTAATCACCTCGCCTAACTGCTGCATCCGCTGAGCTACTGCACGAGGTCAGTGTTAAAGACATCTTTCCAAGCACCCAAGACTGGCATATCAGTAAAAAGTCGAATTTCTGCAAGACAGTTCATGATCCTATCTATCCTCGTCAAATGTGGGAAATATGAATGATGAATAGGGGGAGAGAGTGGATAATTCTGTGTCATCCACTGACACAAACCCCATTAAGCTTTGTAGCATTTGCTCACAGTTACCTCGGTCACATTATCTGTGCACTCAAAGCAATTAAGAGCCTTGCTGGATGCATTTGCAGCGATTCTGGCCTAATGACTAACACCGTTCATTTCAACCGGCTCCTCTACGACGTGGTACAGCTGCATTTTTTTTCCACTCAGCCAGCAACAGCATTGCCACTGAGAGAAAGCAAAATATTGACTCATTACTATGGCGGATTCATGGCAATGGATGGTCTACTGATTACATATAAGCGTCAGCTTGAATGAGATTAATAAACTTTAGATAAATAACTGAAAAGGGAAAAACACCTCAAAGTAAACTGCGTTCACTGTTCCGCTCCATCTGCGAGGAATCCACGTAGTTTAGACACATTGGAATTCACCTTGGTACTATGACTTCTGTGTTCGTCACATAGTGATTGAAAGTCAGCAGCTGATAAAGTGAAAATGCTAACGGTTATGCAAAGTCGACGAGACTCACCAGCCCGTTTTGCCGTCCTCATGCAAATGAAGACACGTTGCTCATCATTTCCCCGCCCCTCACGCATCTCACTTTCTGACAGCCTTCAGACCTCCTAATGCTTGGGCTACAGGAAAGAATCAACAAGAATGAATTCGTAGGCACCCACTTAACAACTCCATTAACCATTAATAAAATGATCTCAGTGACTTTATTTCTGGCAAAGCTAATCCTATACCAGCGTATTCTCGTCTCCGCTTTACTGTCCCAATCCCGAAGTGAATTCTTATTCAAAACGGGTTGATTCGGTCGAAATTTATCCACGTCTGGCGTTACCTATTTCGTCCCCCGTGTATTTACTTTTGCATTTCACACGTTACATAAAAAGCACTTCGTTTATTTGTTACCCTAATACCTGCAATTAATAATTCAGTCGAATAACTTTTGCGGCGATGAAAGTGTGCAAACTCGGACCCGAGACCGCCTGACAGTAAAACTGTAATTCGCATTTAGCCGCAAGAACACGTTTCAATCGCCACTACAATCGATATACTCAAACAAACATTGTACGATCGTATTTTGGAAGCACATGATTAAAGCCTCAGAAATCTCATAGATTACGAGTGAAGGCGCATAAATCTTTGAAAAGATTTTATAATAATTCAACCTAAAGGGAAAATGGTTTAAATTTCGATTTGTATAAAATGATTATGCTTAATGCGATTCACACTTCATTTATTTGTCTTTTTGACGACACGAAGTTAACTTTTTCCGCCCATTATTTGCGGTTGTATTGATGCACTTATAATAAGTTTGTTGATAAGAGCCAAAGTTAAATGCCTCCTTGATGTCATTTATTTGACTGTGTGAAGAACTTTTGAACATCAAAAGTCGTACCGATTCATGTTCTGCTTTCTCTTGGTCCTACTTACTGACAAAAAGTAAATCTTTTCATCGTGGTAGGTCTAAAATCATCTCACCCACATAAACCGCGCCAACTGCGGCGGAACCGCTCCCATGAGACGCCGAGTGACAGGTTGAAATAATTTTAAGCTCCGTTAATAACCTTCAAATAAGAAATAACCATTTCCAGCTTTATTATCAAATCTTAGGAAATTAAAATATCCACCAAGCAAACTATATCGTTTCGCCTAGAAATGAAGGAGGCGGTACCAGTGGGTAACGGTTGTCCCGTGACTGCACCTTGGCCGTGTCAACAATACTCCTTCTGCCTTTCTTTCGCCTTCGTATGCGATGGTGAAATCGACTGTCCTGACGGCTATGACGAGAATCCGCGACTCTGCGTTGCAAGTAGGCTACTGCAGAACTTTCTCAAACACACACTTTTTTGGTAGACCAATCAGTTTAACATTTAAGAGTTAATA